TTTTCATTAATGTTACATTTGTTTGTTCTACCATGTTTCTTTGCTAAGAGTTTTTCTAGTTTATTTTTTTGTTTTGCTTTAATCTTGTTGAAAACAGTTTCATATTTTTGTTCTTGTTGTTCATAAAACACTTTTATTTTATTTTGATGGCATGTTTTTTGTTGTAAAGATATTTTAACATTATTAATGTCCTTGTTAATTTCATTCAGTTTGGAACAACAATCGCTCAGTATTATATTTAAACATTGCATGTCAAAGCGTAAAGTAGCAACAACGCTACACATTGAAACTGATGATGGTGGAAAACACCGAAACGTTTTTTTAATTGATAAATAGACAATAAATGACTGAAGAACCCAGGATTTGATTTTAATTTGGAATTATAAAAAAGACAAAGTATCTCGTCTGTATTTTCCATTAAATCTCCAAAACAACGAAAATAATGAAAATGATATAAGTAGGTATTATGCCTTTTTCCATTACGGAATGCTAGCATGGGGTGGAGCGTATAGAAAAAGAATAACCTTCAACAAAGTCTACAGAGAAAGATACGAAAAATTGTGAATAGGAAAAAACTTGTTCAAAAAAATACTAGGAGTTTTTTTAGAGAGAGACTAGTTATGCACGCATTAATCTCTATTATATCATTACTATGATCTCAAAAATAAGTATCGCACTTCGAGTAGCAGGTAAAACTCGCCATAAAAAATTGATATTTGAAGTCTTGTGCTTCCAAATGAATTAAACATTTTAAATATTGATAAAGGCTGACAAAAGAACAAGCGTCTGCCTAATTCTTTACAAACGCAAGTAAATTCGTAAACAGCCGAAGTGTCATTTGAAAACGTTTGATACAAGAATAAACATGAATCCATTAGAAAGCAAAGGGATGCAAATAATAAAGCAAGAACCATGAAGAACAATGTGAAATGAAAATAAAGACCTGCTTGTTACAATAAAGAAGCAAATCGTTTCGAAGAAAGCAATAAAGTAAATGTTTGGCGCAACTGACTACGGAGACCGAAATCAATAATTCACTGTTTAATTATGAATAAAGAAAAGATAAATAATCGGAATCTTGCAAAAAGAAGCCGAAGCAAGAGTCTAGTTTTTTATGACGCGTCTCTATTCGGAAGCGTCGGCTCAATCACATAAAACGTAGAATTTAAGCGATTTTTGTCCCATAATTGTCATTTACTCGCTCTTGCCTTTTAAGCGGTGGTTATTCGTGTGAGTACGATTGTCCAAAACAAATCCAATATCAATCAAATCACACACTCTAATTGAACGTAATTAAAACACTCACCCGAATTGTTAATAGAAACTGTTCCTGATCACAAAAATTGTCATTTTTTCGCTATTGCAAGGCGCACACAAAATTCACGTTCAAACTCACTGGAAAACGAATTTACGAGGGTTTTCGTCAAAATGGATCCACACCAAGCGACCGAACAATGGGCGAGAAAAAAATAATAACTGGTCGAAAGCTTAACATAATGATAGCTCTACGACGGCGGAATCACCGTGACTAAAAGGCCTACCTGCATGGTACCTTTCCTCCTCCCCCCAATAACAGTTTTAAATTAACTTCCATCCCATTGGTCGAGCCTAATAAAATGTAACACATTTATGGGCTTTATTCCTCCACCACGACCTCATGGGATACTTTTGCGTAATTGCAATGGCTGACAATATCAGAGAATCGTCTTTGAATTCTGGAAGATCGACGTTAATTATCCATTAACAGACTAATTTTGCCGAAGACTGCAATCCAAACCGACTGATTTAAGCGGCGAGATAATATAGAGCAAACAAACACAGTGAAACTCTCTACTCCAGTGACCGAACAATGAGCTATTTTAAATAAAAATAACTTTTGATTTCAACTATTTGAAGCCGATTGAAATAGTGACTGGTTGAATTTCGGGTAATATTAATACAATTACCTCTTTGAAAAATGACTAGACAATTTTTCTGCTGACCAAGGATGACAAGTTAAAGAAATTTCAATTTTATTTTGGCACTATGCATGTAACGGGTCAGATTAACAGGTGCAATGTTAATAACTGAATACGCTTTTATTGTTATTGTCGGTTTTTTTCTGTCCGCGTGCCGCCACTTAATGCAGAATAATTATTACTATCCGTCTTGCCACAGGGAATAGTCGAGTTTTGTTATTCCAATATTACATGCCCATTGATTGGACGTATTTATTCATCCCACTGTTTGAGGCGAAGTCTAAGGGGGTTAAGATGGTTCCCCGATCAATTTTTTTGATTTGGGAAGAGAAAATCATCGAAAATGATCAAAAAATAAATTGTCTGAGTGTGTAGAAAACGCTTAGAATACCGATATGGGCGCAAAGACTGCAAACATTTTTCAAAAGAAGTATTTAGGGGTTCGGTTATTTTTTGCTATTTATTTAGTGAAGAAACTTATTGCTTATGAATACAAGGTTTAGCAAATTAATAAAGAAAGTTAGTCGCTTCTCTGGAGGCATCAGCAAAAATTTGCTTGTGCCTTGGAAAGAACGAAATTAACACCCCCTGGTTTGGTTCTTCCAGAAGGAATAAACCTCGTTAACACCAACATTTGATTACTCTTGTATCTTTAACAGTAGGTAGTCGAGGAAGAAAATTGAAGCAAGCTGAAGAATTTGAGAAAGTCGCCTGTTAAAATTGAGATCAGAAACAGCCCGTATAAATATAGAAAACAAAGCCGTGAATTTCTCCACTTGACTCAATCCGTTCAGGAACAGAAACAAACAAATACAAGCCGTTTCTCCCAACTGCTTAACCACAGGTATTCTTAAGAGGATTTTTAATTAGATACCAGTATATTACAGCCATACTTGACTACTATCCATGTCAATGCCAGACAAGTAAATTAGCAGGTTGAATACATGAACAACATATTTCCTATCAAATCGGAATGAAGTAATTGAGCATAAAATGAGACTGAAAAAAGGTAAGTCTGAAAGCAGTGATATTCACGCCATTCCCTTCAGTTAGGAATGAGGTTCGACACTTATATCGACAGCTCCTTAATGCAAATGAATTATCGTTTATCTGTCTGGCTCAGCGATTGTTACTCATTTAATATCACACTGGAACGTAAAGGTTTGATA